TCTTCTCACGAATCGCTCAGCTAGTGCTCTAGATACCAGATGTTGGAAATCCACCACAACCTATGGAGAATTTCTATCAATCTTGATGAACAAGATTATTATCGATACACAATAACAATGAAAAGAAAGAAAAATTGTAGAAGAAAAAAATTAGAGTTTAAAAAAATATAGAAGATATTGATGGTGATTTCTGCAGAGTAACTCTCTATCCACAAACTGTGAAAATGTTATTCACTTTACAACTGCAAAATTATGTGAATTCAAGTTATTACAAGAATAAGGGTTACTCCCTCTATTTATAGTTTTAGGTTAGCTTGCTTCCTAAGGCAAAACCCAAAACACAAAAGTCCAAAATATCCAATTTAGCTAACACTACTAAAATAGATCTAAGTTGAAATTCTGTCGAACAATCTGCTTCGACATTTTCACACACACTAGGCTAATTTAAACACATTATTATTTCTATCGAGCCCTATCTATTTCGACACAAAAAATTACATTTTAAACAACTTCAAAAGACAATAATAATAATGATCTATTTATTAATAATTTTGTAATATATTTATCAAATTCATACGTATCAATAAAATAAAAAAAAATAAAAAGGCTAAGAAATTAGATCTAATCCATCACATTTTAGCGTGAATCCTTATGGCCATACACAGGTTTATCCAAATTTAATGAAACTTTTAATTAAACAATAACAAAATACTCATATGATTAAAAATGTCCATAAAAACTAATTACTTTTTAAAATTTTAAAATGAATTAATATCCAAAAAAACAATTCTTAAATTCTTATATCTTTCATGCTTTAATTAACGATCAGATTTGACATCGTGCACCGAATTTTGAAACTACATTTCTATTTCATTCAATTAGTTACTAGGTTCTTATTGAAGTGTAATTGAGGTTTATACTAGCCTCTCCTTCATATCCTTTAAGCTCATCTAATTTTAGTGTTGAACAATTGAATAAGCAGAAGCAATCAAAGTGTACACAAGCACCATAAATTGCTTTCTCCGAATTGATGCACTTTACATCACATGACAAGCTAATAACGCAAGGTCCTGACCAAACTTTACTTTGCATTACACAGTATCCTTCTTTATCCTCTACACATAATAAATAAATAAATAAATAACAATAATAATAATAATAATAGTAATAATAATAATAATAATAAAAGATGAAAATAAGACTTTAAATTGTACCTTGTGAAGAAATTAGAAGAATAACGAGACAGAAAAAGATGAAGATGGTGTAGAATTTAGTAGCAAAGGATGAAGTCATGATTTCTAAATGTAAATAATCTTCTCTGAAAAAAGAACCAACAAAATGTCTGTGTTTATATATTCAAATAGTTTGTTGGATCTTTTGAAATAATTTACAAAAAAAATTTGTGAGCTGGGTTGAGTTTTGTTTTATTTGAGATTTTTAATTTTGTTATAACACATGGAGAGTTATCTTAGCTTTATAATATTAAGATATTGAATTTTGAATTCTTTCATGATTGTAAAATGATCATTGATGATTTTTTAATCAATAAAAAAATCTTAAACTTAAAAAGAAAATAAATATTACTATATAGTATGTCTAGGATTCAAGGCATTGCAAAGGTTTTTAGGCTGAGATTCCAATCTTCAATTTAAATTTATTATTATCAATATATATCAATCAGCCCATATAGTCTTTCTAGCAGCCAAGACATGAATTTTTTTGGGGGCATAAATTTAATTTTCAGTTTATTATTACGAGTATAAACCGCTCATACATTATGTATATGAGCCAAGAAATTATAGGCTTTATTGATAAAAACTCTTTAAACAACCATTGACAATTCATTGACAATTCTTTATGATTGGCTCAATGACGGCACAATAGTGATATCGTTCACACAATCCACCAGCATCAAAGTATCAGAGTATACTGTAATCTTGGATCCCCAACTAAAAGCTAAAGCTTCTGTCACTAAAGGATTTTTCTTTTATAAGCAAAATATTTCATTTCAAGTGAGACTTTACGGGTGCTATCTCCAACCAAGGTGGGACTTTTAGAATCTTCCTAATACACTCCCTCACGCCCAGCACTCTTTTGGGCTTGGTGCGTGATTTAAACGGTGGACTGCCCAAGGTCCGATTGATGGTTCTGATACCATATTAGAGTTTGCCCTAACACAATCTTACAAGATCGGTTGGTAAGGTGAGAGGTGTCACTCTATATAAACTATTTCAATGCTCTATATCCAACCAATGTGTGACTTTTAGGATCTTCCTAATAGGACGCAAAGTATAAGTTATTAAAAAATTAAAAGTATAAGTCTGACCTGTAATCTATCCAAAGTTTATTTTTAGGCATGAATCTGATATTTTCGAATACTCCGTAGATTTATTAGTTTACTTAAAAATCTATTTCATTTTTTGAATTCTGGTACGATTCCTGGACAGGACCTATCCTGTTACACAATCTGTTTGCAAATGTTTTTCAGATATCGGATCCGGACAGCCCGCATGTTGTGTATAATGGTTTTTGGTTTGGTGATAAATGGTGTTGGTTTGTAGCTTTGACGCCAGGTCCTTTGCATCACGAAACAGCAACGAACTTGGTAGATCTTTATGCTCTGCTACAACATTTACAGCACCCGGATAGAATAATTTGGTGGAGGAATACGACTGGGGTTCTCGGTTTCAAATTGTTACGATATAGTGGTGCCTTGCAGTATCGATAGAGCACCAGTAGACGGGGGAGTGTTAGTGACGCTCAAGTGCTTGTGGCGGTTGAAGGTTTCTAGTAAGATTTTGATTTTCGGGGGGAGGTTGGCTTTGAATCGCCTTCCCACAAGATTAAATCTAGAGCGATGTGGAATCCTATACGGAAACTCTTGTTTGGACTGTACTTTATGTGGAAGAGAGAATGAAGATTTGAAGCATTTGTTTGGAGTTTGTATGATTTCTAAGAATTGGTGGATGCAAACTATTAATTGGTTTCACACACACACACGGAAGTATTTTCTTTCACTTAAAGTTACATTGGTGCTTTTTGAGTGAAATACTATCTGTGAGGAAGAAATTGTATTATTGTTCATGATGTTGTTATAACTCTCAAGAGTACAATTTTATTAGAAAATTGAGTTAGATTCATGAGACAAGGAGTCATAAAATCTCAATTTTTTATTCTGGAACTTTGCTGAAAAAATTTCTGTTTGGTTATTCAAAAATGCCTGAAAAATCTCTAAACATTTTGTTAGCTTAGTCTAGGTAAAAGCTCTCACTTTGATTGGGGATAAATTTGCAATATCTCTAAATCCTTATCTCTTTATTTTTGCAATTTACTCTACTATTTTACTTTTCACTACTTAATTTACTCCGATCTTAAATATTATTAACACGATTTACTGTATAAATAATAAAAATCTAAAATCAATCGCGAATTTTAAATATCACAATTCACCTCCCCTCTTATACTTGAAGTTATTTGTTCAACAAGAGGAATCAAATCCTAACTCATGTCATAGACTAATCTTCCTAGGAATAAAAATGACTTTAAGTCATTCACTAAACAAATTTTCACCCTTTAATGGAGGAGAGTATAGTTTTCGAAAAGATAAAATGAAGTTTTTCATAGAAGGGATGGATAGTGGTATTTGGAAGGTTGTGAAGGAAGATTTGTTTGTTCCTACACATAAAGTTAATGGTGTTGTGGAAAATAAACCATAAAAGGATTGGACAAAAGATAATAAAGAAAATGTGTCTCACAATTTAAAGGCAAAATCTATCATCACTACCGCTCTCAGTCTTGATGAGTTTTTGCAAGTTTCTCATTGTGATATTGCAAAGGAAATGTGATACATCCTCCAAATTACCAATGAAGGAATTATTGAGGTAAAGAGGACAAGGTTGGAAAGATGGTTTACCTATATCGTGAGTCATATAAGAACTCTGGAAAAAAACATTTTCAAATGGAGAACTAGTTGTGAAAATTCTTATATGCTTAAATCAGAGTTGGCAGCCTAAAATCAATGTGATTTACAAATATAAGGATCTAGTAACTATAGACACACACTCTGTTTGGTAAATTGCACGAATATGGGATGGAGCTGAAGAGACTGACTGATGATGAAGATGATAACAAGAAACGAAGAAAAATATTTATTTTGAAAGAAAAAAAAACTAGAGCCTGAAACCTTTGCTATACTTTCAAGAAAGAGAGAGTGGGGAATGTTTTCTGTAAAGAGAAAGAAGTAAGACTTTAATTTTTTGTTCTTAACTGACCCCTTTTGTGTTTTCTGAAAAATTATTTGCTTGATATGGAAGTGGGTTTAAAATTACATTTAAAAGTGATTAAAAATTAGTGACGTGATTTTACCCTAGCAACATTTAACGAAGTAATTTTCATGTGATAAAGAGTCGCTGTAATTTTTAAGTGACAAAAAAATTACAACGTATGTATTCCATTTTGTCCTCATACACTGTTATGTGGCAAGTGTAGTTTTATTGTCCCACAATTCGGTTCTTCATGCCGCACTAAACACATTGAGTTTAATCTTCATTTTATGAGAAATAACCATCTCAAGTAAAGTTGCTCATTCAGCATGTTCTTGCCTCTGCTCAGATAACAGACACCATGATCAAGCCTCTTGGCATCTTTTCATTTCAGAACTCAAGTCCAAGCTCAAAGTCACTTCTTACAAGCCCCTTATCTTAAGGGAGAGTATTAGAGTTAGACTAGAGAGTTTGACTTATGTATAGAATACAATGCATTTATAAATACATACTTGTAACAAACTAAGTCATCAATACAATGAAATATTCATAGAGAGCTCTCTCTATCATCTTTAACACACCTCAACAATTTGTCAGACTTATACACATTTGTTGAACAAAAAAGAGAGCAGGGATAACATTGTAAACGATTTAAAAGATAAATTACTTAAACAGGAAGAAAAAAAAGAAAAAAGATAAAGGAATAAAGTATTACAGAAAAAGAAGATGATGTTTGCCTTAAACATATGGAGTAGGAATCAAACACAAGTTGTTCCTTCTAGCCACAGCAGCTCCAAAGGCTTCATCCATATCCAAATCCTCTACTTTCATTCCATTAGGAAGCTCCCAATCAAAGTGATACAGTAATGCAACCAAAGGAAGCTCAATATTAGCTACACCAAATAAAATTCCAGGACAAACTCTTCTTCCTGCTCCAAAAGGGATATACTCAAAGCTATTATTCACTTTATTAAAATCAAAACCAGTGTCATCAAATCTCTCAGGTATAAACTTCTCTGCATCATACCAATACTTGGGATCTCTTCCAAGTAGCCATGCATTTACTATCACTTTGGTTTTTATAGGTATTTCATATCCACCTATTTTGCATGGTTCAATGCACTCTCTTGGAAGCAACAAAGGAACAGGTGGGTGTAGCCTCATGGTTTCTTTTATCACTGATTTTAAGTAACTAAGTTTATGTAAATCACACTCATGAATTTTGTTCTTTCCCTTAAAGGCTTCTCTTATTTCAGACTGTACCTTGTTTCTCACGCTAGGGTTTTTCATCAACTCTGACATAGTCCACTCTATTGCTGTTGCTGAAGTATCACTCCCAGCAGCAAATACATCCTGTTCAATAATTCAACATAAACTATGTTGAAACAACTTGTCATCATAGTAACAAAAAAAATAATAGCATGTTGATTGCATTGAATGAGGCAATAGTCAAGGTTTATACACAACTTCAACTCAACTATGATTAAGATGCATTAATAATGGTTCTATCAAATATTAACTTATTAAGAATCACATCAGGGATATTGTTATTTAATAATTGATTATGATTGGTTTATAGAGAGTAGACACCAACATTAGACACGACAATACTTACGCGTTGAGAACAGCGGTAATAATTTCAAAAAATAAATGAATTGAACATAATTATGGTGTCAGACACTGGACACGGCTTATGTTTAGAGGGATTCGTGCGGTAAACAAATAAATTATTAGAAATGAACTAACCCATAGGACTGCTTTGACATTGTCGTCTGTGATCGGAATCTCGAGACTGCCACTTTGCTGAACACGCAAAAGAACATCAACTAGATTTTCACTCTGCATGCCATGGTTTGACTTTGATTGATGCTCTTTGATAATGCTTTCTAAAATCTTATCCAACTTCTTTTGCATATTCTCCAGTTTACCTTTCATACCGGTTATTACATGAATAGGTGTAAATGAGGGAAACAAATCAGCAACATCAAAACCACCTGCCATTTCCACTGCTTCCTTGAGCAAACACAAGAGTTCATCTTCATATTCAGATTTTCTACCAAACGCTGCCCTAGTCACAAACGAACTAACCAAAGAGGTTACCGTTTTCGTAAGATCAAGTGGTTGAGAAGAAACTGAGAAATGATGAATGGATTGTATAAACTTTTCAACCTCGTCTTCTCTAATGGAACAAAAAGATTGAACCCTTTTTGCACTAAGAAGCTCTGATGTACATATTTTTCTCATCTGTCTCCAATAATCACCGTATGGAGCAAAGGCAATATCGGTTGATTCATAGGCTAATATTTTAGGGCAAAGAAGTTGTGGCCTATTAACAAAAGAAAGATCATGTGTTTTCATTATTTCTTTGGCTAAATCAGGAGATGAAACAATCACTGCAGAGATTTCACCTAGCTGAAGATGCATAAGAGGTCCATATTTGTGTGAGAGTTTTCCAAGTGTGTGGTGTGGAAGTGATCCTCCTAGTGCTAATTGATGCAAGTTTCCTATTAGAGGAAGCTTCCATGGTCCTGGTGGAAATTTATGGATCACACTTCTTGCTTTGATTTTCTTTGTTAGCCAAAACAAAAACAAGATGAATGAAGTAATGATGATGAGGAAGGTAGATTTGATTTCCATTGCATAGAAATGAAGATTTGAAATGATGGGAATTGAACATTTAAGTCTTATGAACTGTTGCATGTAGTATTAAATAAGTATAATGAGGCAAACGAGATGATTATTCTACTATAAATATAATAGATTACTCACATTTCATTTTTTATATCTATTTTAGTTTTTCTTTTTTAAGGGATATTGATAAAAATGCACCTTGACTTCATCTGAAAATGACAAGAGCATATTTTTTTGGTTATCAAAATCAAAAGACAAATGCATTTAATGAACTAACGTAGAGATCCAGAAAAAGAAACCAACGCATATAATATGGGGCTAACATAGTCAATTATTAGTTAACACAGGTAGTGGGGTTAGTGTTTCGATTGCTTAACTCACAAGTTAATGAATATAAATTAAAAAAGGTGATTAGATAGGAATGTAAGATTTGGAATTATTGAAAAATAATCAAACTGCTACTAAATCTTAATTAGAATTTCAATATTCCTCCTAATGAAGATCATATAACCTTCTCATTCTTATTAATCCTTTGAGACCTTTAAACCTTTTTTTCTTCAATAGCTTAGTTAGAATATCTCCAAATTGTGGTTGAGTCTCACAATACTCTATCGTTAATTTCTCCTTGCCTATTTGATTTATCAGAAAACACTATTTTCTTTCGATATGTTTGCTCCTTTCGTGACTCATTGGATGATTAGCTAGATCAATGGTGATTTATTGTTAATTAACGACTTGATCTTGACAACTTCATTAACCTTCAACTTTTCCAACACCATTTTAATCCACAATGCTTGATAATTTACATAAGAGGTTGCAACATACTCTGTCTCACAAGTTAACAAAGTCATAATTCCTTATCATCTTTGAGCTCCATAAAATTGGAGTTGGTCCAATCAAGAACAAGTTTCATGTTGTACTTTTTCTTTTATCTTGATCTCCTCCCCCGTCCGAGTTAGAATAGCCATAAGCATTAGCTTCCCATTTAATGTTCTTCTGATATGGCATGATAATACCATGATCTATAATGACTTTAATGTACCTAAGGGTTCTTTTACCTTGTAGTAGACGACATGATCTTAGTTTCTCCATGAATCTACTTACCAAACCAACACTAGGGAAAATATCAAGCGAATAGTAATCGATCAACTCTAATGGACTAATCGTTAAAAGACCTTAGACCTGAACACTCCATGAATCAATTAATCATAATTGAATGTCATGATCTCCTTAATCGATTAAAATCATCCTATAAAGAGATAAACATATTTCTCTTCTTCCTATCTCATCTCAATTCCTCTCTTCAACTGTTTGTTTTCTTGTTTTCTTGTGTTCTCTAATTTTCTTAAGTACTATTATAGTATTTTTATCTTCGTTGCTATATTGACACCAAAAAGAGTCTGAAATGCATGCAGTTCCTCAGCTTCATCCTACGTCTCAGATCATTTCTTCTCACAAGATAAAAAAAGAATGGTTTCTCATAAACTTTGCTGGAAAACATCTCACTCCAGCTCACATCATGGATGATAGCTTCTTCAGAAATTTCAAACTTTTCGATGCTTTTGATCAAGCCAACTTGAAGAATTTTGTCTGCAGCAGGCTTGAAGAAATGTTTCCAAAGCTGGTAAAAATGTCTTATGCTCATCTAAGCTAAAAATATAATATCATCAAAACTGAGGTATGTAAGAAAGAGACCATTCTCTCTCTGGAAATATTTTCCGCTATTTGTGATCTTCCTTGTTTTGCTCCTCTCTACAAACTGAAGGTTCTAGAACCAATTGAAGATTTCGATTTCGTCCAAAAACCTGTCTCATATATTATATGGCGACACACATTCTCATCCCAAGAAAATTCAATGTTGGCCAAGTCTCAAAAATAGATGTTGTTTTGAAATGGTTGCTAGCTAATAAAGTTGAAAGTAATTGGACTAGTAGGGTTATGTATCATATCGTAAAGAAACGAAGAAGGGTTATGTATCATATTGTAAAGAAACGAAGAAAAGGGTGTTAAATTTGCTACAAATTTCTAGAGAGTTCTTAAATATAATATGTAACAAAATATAGAACATCCTAGAAACTATAAGGTGTATGAATATGGTAGAATAATCTAGATATATAAGTATATGGCAAAGATAGAAAAATCTAGATTTATCATGATAGTAACCTATCATGAGAACTCTAGAATATTCACCACTATTTAAAGGTTGGTGACTTGAGCCTATAAATAGGCATTTGCTACATTGTAAACAATCATCCAAGAAATTAATCAAAAACCTTCTTTCTAAACTACTCTCTAAAACTATCTTCTACCAACTATCATCTAAACAATTACTAACAGTGGCATCAGAGCTACGTTCGGTCATACATTGGGCGTAGTTATACTAATACCTACCATTTCAAAATCCTCCAAACTACTTCAAAATATTTCCCTTATACTATTAACCCACTACAATATTTTTTCTAAGCCATGGATAACACTACTCAATCATCAACTATTTGTGTCCCTATTTTCAATGGTGAAAATTATGATTTCTGGCGTGTTAAAATGGAGACATATTTTTCATCTCAAGATTTATGGGACATAGCAGAAGAAGGCTTCATCGCTCCCATAGATACTTCAGCTCTAAATGCAACTCAAGAAAAAGAGTTGAAGAAAAATAAACAGAAAAATTCAAAGGCATTGTTCACCTTGCAACAAGCGGTGACTGATGCAATTTTTCCAAGAATTATGGGAGCTAAGACTGCAAAAGAAGCGTGGAAGACGTTGCAGGAGGAGTTTCAAGGAAATGACAAGGTACGTGCTGTCAAACTTCAATCTCTAAGAAGAGATTTTGAACTATTGAAGATGAAGGAGTCTGAGACAATTAAAGATTACTATTCTAAAGTTAAAGAAATAGTTAATCAAATGAGAGCTTTTGGGGAGGATATTCTTGACAAGAAAATTGTTGAGAAAATTCTAATTACTATGCCCCAAAAATTTGACCCAATCGTGACAACAATAGAGGAAACCAAAGATCTGTCTACTCTATCAGTGACAGAACTAGTGGGCTCTCTTGAAGCATATGAGCAAAGACTACATAGACATAAAGAAGATACACTTGAAAATGCCTTTCAGTCAAAGCTCAAATTTAAGTCCCAAAATAAAGAAAATGGTAGAAAGAAAAATTATGGTGAAACTTTCAAAAGAAGAGAAGTTCCTAGAAATTTCCAAAAGAACAATCCAGATAAAAATATTTCATGCAATATATGCAAACGACTAGGCCACGCGGAGAAAAGTTGTTGGTACCGTAATATGCCACAATGCAATCATTGCAAGAAATTCGGGCACATAGAGAAACACTGTCGCAACAAAAATAGGCATCAAGCTAATATCGCAGAGGAGCATGATCAAGAACAATGTATGTTCTATGCCACTCAAGAATCAATCAAAGAAAAAGGAGGAAGTTGGTACTTGGATAGTGGATGTAGCAATCACATGGCCAAGGATGAGACTATTTTCAAAAGCATTGATGAGTCAGTCAAAGTCAAAGTTCGACTAGGAAATGGAAGTGTGGTTGAGTCAAAAGGAAAAGGCACCGTCGTGGTAGAGACAGATAAAGGTACGCGACTCATCCATGATGTCTTACTAGTTCCCAGCCTAAAAGAAAATCTTCTAAGCATTGGGCAAATGATGGAGAGAGGCTACACACTTCACTTTGAAGGAGGTGTATGCAAAATCTTAGACAACAAGAATAAAAGGGCCGAGATAGCCGAAGTGAAGATGAATAAGAGCAATAGAAGCTTCTCGCTAAATTTAAAATATACAACTAACATTGCCATGAAGGTACAAGTTGATGATTCATGGCTTTGGCATCGAAGATTTGGCCACTTCAACACACATGCCTTGAAGTTGTTACATGATAAGAGCATGATGAGAGATCTTCCAAGCATAAAGGATAACAATGAAGTGTGTGAAGGATGTCTCCTTGGTAAGCAACACCGATTTCCATTCTCAACAAGCGGAGCATGGAGAGCAAAAGATCTGTTGGAGCTGATACATACTGACGTCTGTGGACCGATGAGGACGCCATCACACGAGAACAACAGGTACTTCATACTCTTCATTGATGACTTCTCTAGAATGACATGGGTCTATTTCTTGAAAGAAAAATCAGAAGTTTTTGGAGTATTCAAAAGGTTCAAGGCCCTTGTTGAAAATCAAAGTGGAAAGCGGATAAAAGTACTAAGAAGTGATCGCGGCAAAGAGTACACATCCCGCGAGTTTGATAGATTTTGTGAGGATGAGGGCATAGAGCGACAACTTACAGTCGCATATTCTCCTCAGCAAAATGGTGTGTCTGAGAGAAAGAATCGCACAGTTATGGAGATGGCTAGATCGATGCTCAAAGAGAAGCGACTACCTAACACATTCTGGGCTGAAGCAGTCTACACTGCTGTTTACTTACTCAACAGATGTCCAACTAAATCTGTACAAGATAAGACTCCAATTGAGGCTTGGAACGGGAAGAAGCCATCAGCAAAGCACCTAAGGATCTTTGGATCTATATGCTACATTCATATTCCAGACGTGAAGAGGCATAAGCTTGAAGACAAGACTATACGAGGTATCTTCTTGGGGTATAGTACAATATCTAAAGGCTATCGTGTATATAACTTGCAAACAAAAAAACTCATCATCAGTCGAGATGTTGAAGTTGATGAGAATGCTTCTTGGAATTGGGATGAAGAAAAAGTGGAGAAGAATGTTCTTATACCCACTCAACTACCTCAAGAAGAAGCTGAGGAAAAAGTCCTAGGTGAACCTTCTTCACCTCCACCACAACAACAAGCTCAAGAACTATCATCACCAGAGTCTACTCCAAGACGAGTAAGATCTTTGAGAGACATATATGAAACCTGCAACATGGCCATACTCGAACCTGGAAGCTTTGAAGAAGCATCAAAGCATGAAGTATGGGTCAAGGCAATGGAAGAAGAGATAAAGATGATCGAGAAAAATAACACATG